GTTAGGTAGACCCACTGATCAACTTCACTATGGCTGCTGTTAGGCTCTTTCATTCCTACAGTAAAAATATCATGGGCTTCAATAATCATATACCCACTTTAAACAAAACTAGAGTCACTTTTCCACACAGTATATAATTCAATTAAATTGTGTGACTCATCAGTGATCTTGTGAAAGGTTCAAAGTATTTAGCTATAAACTAATGGAAGACAGTCCATTGGCAATTAATTTCTCTGATATTTTTGCTCTGATCCTGAACAGCAGTCAGTATATCCTAAAAGAAACCAGGAGTGCAATTGGAGAGAGATTTCCCAGGACATTTCCCAAAAAAGTTCAAAATCCAGACAGTAATTGAACCACAGCATAAAGATTAATGTTACAGAAGAAAAAGACTGAATCATCTGTGTGAAAGAAGTATGTATGAGAAAAGAAGCTCAGAGTGCAATATGAACTAATTGAGAAGAAATGTAAACCGGGCCACTTCCATGTAACCTTTCTCCCAGGAGTTCAGCTATCTGTGATTCCAGACCTACTTTCAGTACAGCACAGCTGTGCAACTGTTCTCAGTTTCCTTCTGAGAAAATTGCTAAGGCGTGAGAGGGAGCTGTGAGAGAGTACACAGGCTGGAAGCATTCAAGATAAGAAAGGTAAAGTTGCAGATATAAGTAAGATTGTTGAGACAGGGAAAACTGGTACCTCAAGGATTTAACGAACAACAATCGCATCAAGAGGCATAAAGTCCTGACGAGAAAAAAAGAAAGGGAAATCAGAAGATAGCATCTCAGCACTATCACAGATCAGCCTGTTCCAGTGAGCCCCAGAGGCCAGCTCTCCCCTTACCTGAGTGATGACTACTTGCCCATTATACTGAGTGACTCATTTGGTGGGGGTTGATTTAATGCCTCGTTCATTAGTCCTACAAAGTATTGTGTGTTACACGACAAATAATCTGCTTTCTGCTTTTAAGATGTTTATATCTTGCCTGAAGAATCTCTATGGTAAAAGTTCCCTGAAGACAGTGAGTCCCACAGGGGAAGGGTTACATAAGTAATCTAGAATAACAGACAAGGATAATATGATTAGTCATATAGAAGAGCATTTATACTTCAAAGCACAGGTGCACAGGCGGGTTAAGGGATATAGAACATGCTGGACATTTTTTTTCAGCAGATGACATGTATTTCAGAAAAGTTCCTCAAAGCTACAGCATTAAATAAATTATATCTGAATAAGGATACAGAATCTGATCTCTCTAATGAGCCAAGAAACCTGGGAGACAAAAGCAGAAGTGTTGGGAATTCCTAATTTAGGAGAAGGCATTCTGACTACTTACAATCCCAGGATAAGAAAAATAGAACAATGCTTCCCAGAAAGCAAATCACAGAAGGGAATGGATCTGGGAAAATTCTAAATTATCTAAATGAAAAATTAATTAGTGAAACAAAATCTAAATTTCCAAGTCTGACTTGTTGAAGAAGGACTGAGAATGCTGCTGGGAGCTTACAAGAAACACAAGTGAATAACTTTTAAAATTATTATTCTGCTTCAAATGCTTCTAGAAATTGCTGCTTGATTGCCCCTGAAGAAACACATGCTCTATGTACACATAAAAGTTTGAAAGAAACTAGCATGTAAGTCAGAGATGACATTACCTTGCTGGAATAATTTTAAATAAGTTTTAGGAAGCTGAACATTAAATTTATTTCTTAATGCCAGAGAGCTGGCTGGGGAACCAGAAAAGCTGAGGGAAGATGGCCTTTCCCACCACTGCCTCAGACATTTTAAATGTGCTTACCTAGATGATAATTTACAAGAATAATAAAACTGTGTTGAAAATACAGTAAGAACTGTTCTTTTTAGGAAGACAAGAAGACTCAAAGTTCTGATCATTCCAGTGTCCTATGGGAATAAAGGATAAATCATGAAGGATAACTTTAATCATAGAATCATTTCAGTTGGAAAAGACCTTGAAGTTAATTGAGTTCCACCATAAACCTAACACTGTCAGGTCCCACTAAACCATATCTCTAAATGCCACACCTACATGTCTGTAAAATATCCCCAGGGATGGTGACTCAACCCAGGTGACTTCCCTGGGCAGTCTGTGCCAGTGCTTGACAGCTCTTTCTTGTCAGTGAAGAATATTTTCCTAATATTCAATATGAGCCTTGAGGCCATTTCCTCCTATCCTATTGTTTGTTACCTGGGAGAAGAGACTGACCTCCACCTTGCTGCAGCCTCCTTTCAGGTAGGTGTAGAGTGAAAAGGTCTCCCCTAAACCTCCTTTTCTCCAGGCTGAGCAACCCAGCTCCCTCAGGCACCCTTCACAGGACGTGTGCTCCAGTCCCTTCACAACTTTGCTGCCCTTTTGAGATACACTTCAGCATCTCAACCTCCTTCTTTTAGTGAGGGATCCAAACAAAAGATACTCTCTTTAGCCCCAAACCTGTTTCTAACCCTCCAGGACCCATGGTTGATTTCCCAATGGCTAAATGGAAAGAAGCACCAAGTATGAATGAAGGGATTCCCCAAAGCAAGTTAGGTATGGCCTTCATGTCAAGTTCAGTGGCTGAAACTGTTTAAAAAGCTAAAATGAAGAAGTTACCATTTCTGTAGCCCTTGATATATTTTAGTGCATATTAGGAATAACTTTAATTTAAACTTCTTGTTTCATCTACAACTTAAGCACAAGAGCATCCAAACCAAGGGTACTCTGAAATATTTTTATCATATTTTTATGATTCTGAGTCTGTTTCTTTCTCTTGTTTTTCAAGCATGTGGATTTTGACCTACTCAAGAGAAGAGTCCTGTTCCTGAGTTAGTGGCTTTGACCTTTATGCATTCTTTTATGAAAAACTTTCTGCAATAAGCTTTTCTTTGCCATCAACTGAAGAAGTGAGACCTTAGAAATCAATTTCAGATAGCAGGCCTGCTGGTTAGAGCTAAGTATCTCGTTCTGACAGACAGCACAATGCTTCAAACCAATTTCTTGTCCATTTCTGAAAGATCCCCTTCAAATGAAAGAAAACAGTAATAGTGAATGCCTTTCTAAGCCACAGATTTTCTCAGTGAACATAGTATCATTACACTGAGCTCCTACTGACTGGGGAGAATCAAATATGGCAGGACTAAACCAGTAATTCTTATAAGGCAAAACTGTTTTATTAACTCTGCCCTTGAACAATATAATTCAATCCTATCAGGTGGAAATATCTCTACAGATCTATATATCTATATAAAAATAAATAAATATATAGATAGATATCTCTCTATATATAGATATATATAATCTATAATAATCTATAATAATAATCTTATTTCAATAGATTCCTATATCTATAGAAGTACTTATACAACTATTAAACAGCTTCTTCTTGCAACTCATGGCAAAAGGGGGTGTTTTCCCAAGAAGTACAGACCTTCAAATTGAACATAACATTAAACTTTAAAGTTAGTGGGACATAGGGGTTTGGTTTATACTAGTTTTACAGAAGTGTATTCCTGTTAACTTCAGTGCAGGTCTCCCCTTTTCATCAGTTTAAGCATGTTTGGAATCAAACCACAAACCTTTAATGACATTTTAACGATCCACTTGGGGGAGCTAAAGGGTAATTTGTTTCCAAATTGTTTGTGGCAAAATGGGATGCAAAATTACAGAAAACAAGAGCAGAATCTTCTACTTTTTTCTATTCAGTGCTGATTGATGACCTATATTAGCTTCTGAGGCAAAGGGTCCCCACTTCTTATTAAAATTCCATCAATTTAGAGAAAAAAGAATCCCAGTTATAACTAGCTTAGCAGTAGACATCTGTAATGCATCAATCATATCCTGACTTCAATTATGAACCTACAAGATACACTAAATGAGACAAAAAACACACGAGGCAGAGTTTGGCCCTTACACTGCATTTTTCTGCTAGCTAACATCAACTGTGACAGCAAGAAAAGAAAATCTAACATTCAGTGGTTTTGTCTTCCAACTAATATGAAATAACACCTTGTATGTTTTTCTTTCTTTTGTTTAGATACTGGTCTCAGGCCACAGCTGCCTGTGCCTTGTGGAGCAACAGGGCTTTGCACCATAGTTATGTTCCTCATTTCTCCAGCCTGGGACACAGTGGGACCTGTTGCCTAGCATACAACTACACCAGCTGCTTTATCTTATCTTGATTGACTGTGGTTACTGGTAGCCTTTGGACTGCTCTGGGACTCCGGCACTAATCAGAGGCAGAGATGTAACATCTGCTACACCTGAAGGAGGAGCAGAGCCTTTTGTGTGTGAAGAATCAATAACATATAATTTCAGGCTTCTCTCTATGTAGAAGTTGCCCTAAAAGTTAACATAAACTGACATGACAGTTGATTTCGGAAGTCATAGCAAAGCTACAATCCTCAATCTTTTATAAGAGAAAACAACTCACTTTCAGACACATAACTCACATGAAAATTCCCCTGGCAGAGCTGTACTGTCAATGTCTTCACTGTAACATTACAAACTTCACTATAACAGCACAAACTTCCTCTCATTCCAAATTACCCTACAGTGCAGTTCACATTAAAGTTTATGCTTGCCTATAGATGGACATCTAATTAAACTGAGTCATATAAATGAAATTTCAAGCAAAAATGATAATTTTTAAAAAACTGTGTTATTTTAGAATAGCTTACTAACTATAAGGTTTCCTTATTTTATGTCTAATTCAGCTGGAGCTGTGTACTTTGTAGCTACAAACTCCCAAAATATATTTTTAAATGTCATTCTGCCTCCTGAAGGCAAACAAAATCATGCTGATTGAATAACGTGCTAAAGACAATGGCAAAGTAAATGGAAGCAAAGGGCACAGCCAACCCAGGTACAGGCATGAAATGTGTAGTCATTAAGAGCATTTGATGACTGCATTTGTGGTGCAAATTGCTTTTCTGTGTTCTCCTTGATGTACAAGGACAAGTACTATATAATGTATTTGGGAGGAACTGCTGCTATAAATTAATCAACTTACATTAATTAATTCAATCTCCCATATTTTTTTCACAAGGTCCATCGATGTATAGCCATTAATTAGAAAGGATTTGGTATAGTCACCCAGTTCAATGGAATCCAGCCATTCAGCTACAGAGGAGGGGTTGTAACCATCGTGACCGATCTGCTTCATCTGAAAAACAAGGAGAGCAAAAATTACTGGTGATACCCATTAAACACCTTTCAGGACAGGAGTAACACGTGTTATTTTCTTTGGTTCAGTTATCTTCTCTGATCAACGGTCTTTTAATGGTTAGTACAACATCAAACAATTCTGTGTTTAAGCAGTAATAGGACTCAGTTTTTGATGCATCTTTTTCCTATGGTATCTTGCCTTTTACACCAGAGTATGCCAAGACTGTAGCTGGAGTTCAATTCTTTCTAAAATCAGAGAATCCATAAGTGAGGGAAGGCAAAAGGGTAAAAAAGACATTAATATCCTTACTGCCCAAAAATGTCAGATTTTCACCTCAGATTTCATAGAAGGTGAAGAAATTAGACTGAGAAATGGTTCTTTTGGTATCACACTGCAAATGAAATATATGGTCTTGGTTGTATTATTCCTAATTTATCTTTTCTACCAGGCTATATGTTATTTTAGAACAGCTGAACCCGCACTATATTTTTCCATCCCCAGGGAAGGTTTAAAAAAAGTATCTTTCTTCTACCTGCTCACATTTTTCATTGCATGGAAACTTAACATGTTTTAGATTGCTCAGTGTCTGTTAAGTTGCCTAAGACAGGATAACTGAATCAGATATTATTGGAATGGAATTGACACAATAATGTACACAGAAGTGCACTACTTGCATCTGTATAGAAACAAAGCCACGTAATGTCATAAAACTTGTTTTCATAAAAAACTAAGAAATACCACTGGCATCTAATTTTTCTGAATTTTGTTAAGCTGACAGGAAGTAAAAGCGGCAATTTCTCTTTCACAACTGCTTCTCAGTGACACAAGTGAAGACTTTCAAGATATTCATTAAAGCCATTAAAGATAAAACTTATAAAGCGTCTACCTGTGCAGTTTGTTACACCACATTGTTATAATAAATTTTAAAGTAATCTACAATAGTGGCAAAAATAAAGTAGAATGAGGTAGAAAAAATTATGAAGTGCTCTCAATTCTCCACAGTATTCTGCACATATTGTCTTTCTAAGGAAATGTAACTACTGCTAAGTTGATAATACACTGAACTGGTAAATTGTCAAGAAGCTTTAGAGGGTTGGAAATCATGGCTGTGTATGTGTGACTGCAAATAGTAAAAGACAGTTTCCCATTTTTGCCTACTAATATATATTCCTACTTTATGAGAAACAATGGAAGTGTGACAGAAACAGAATGCTTTGAGCTGAAATGTGAGAATATGAGAATATTCACATTGCAGTGTGCCTGCATCACTCCTCTCTGGCATTTTAAAAAGGGTATGCTTAAATAGACACTTGTAAAGCCAGAACCCGATAAATGGAAGAAGAAAAACCTAGTATAGAGAAGATATAAACACAAGGAACAGGCCCACAGGGAGCACATGAGTTTTGGAAAATATAAGGTATTTTTGTTTCCTTCCTCTAACAGAGGAAACTGAAGCACCATGAAAACAATTTTCAATGTATTCAGACAGGGCACGTTATGCAAATTGTTTCTTGTGTTTCTTACTATTTGATCTTTGCATTTAATAGATTCTGATTTTAAAATGGTTTTTTTGGCCTCCTGATTTGAGAAAACCCATGCAGTCTGGTCCTTACTTTTGCTAACCCATCAACCTCTATGAAAAGTGAATACAATGTGGCAAGTTTCAAAATTTTCAATTCCCCCTGGAGATATCCATCAAAAGAATTGTTAAAATTGATATTCTCTACAATAGAGTTGCAAAGGGCTGCAGGCAAGTAAACACAGGTGAACAATGCAATAAACAAGAGGTTGAGAACAACTGAAATGGATGTGACAATTCCAGTCTTCAGATTTGGTGCCAACAGACAAAACTGTTATTGGGTCACTAAATAGCCTACATGAAAATAAACTGGTCTGTTGTAGGGTAGCAGCTGATTCTGCAAGCTTTTTCCCTCTCCCAGATATTTGCTTGTATTCAAAGCCATGCTGCAGGTAGTGCAGCTGCATAGCCTTGGATCAGATCTGTGTGAGGAGGAGCAGTGAGAAGTCAGACCAGGGCTTTAGCCAGACCCCACCTTTGGCAGGAGCTGCATCTGAACTCAGGTCCATGTCCTGACACTTGCCTGAATTATGCTGTAGTTATGTCTGTGCCCAGCCCTCATTTGTTCATCCTCAACCACTGACTCGCCTTCCAAGGTGAGTCCTGTCTTCATCCCTGTGAATGTCCTGTGGACTTGCCCTGGGATGTGGCTGTTCAGTCATTGCCATGGTTCCTGCCCTACTCGCCTTGTCCCAGTGCTCCCTGCCCACTGACACCTGAGCTCCCAGCTCACCTGCCCTGGCAGGACAGTTGCTACTACCACAAAAAAATATAAGAACTTGAATATTTACTACTGGTTTCAGCACAAAAGCAGTATTTTGTTTTGTCATGAACAGAGAACCACTCTCTTATCTAAAATAGGCTTTATAAAATGCATCTAGAATGAAAATTAATAAAATTTCAGTATCTGTCCTCTTGTACAGAAAGTATTTTTCTGTTTTTTAATAATACCAACTTTATTAACTGTCATTCATAGTTACCTAAATGTTTTCCTTTCAAATACTTGCTGATAGACATACTGGTTATCTAGATGTGACAGTATCATTAATAGTATCTGCTTTTCATATAAAATGTTATTGAGTTTTTAAATAAAACCACTTTGAAATATCTGTCTGAAAGTGCTGCCCTTTTACTTTGTCAGAGATTCAGTTTAGTTGCATCTTACCCCAGTCTTTATTAACAGTATCTTAGACTGTATCTTCTATACTGCAATATTATCTTGGACTCCTCTCACAGATAATTTAAACTCTGTAGGCTTCCTTGTTGATTGATACTTCTTGAAAAAAAAAACTTCCTCCTACCTACTGAGTGTATTTCCATGCATATTTCAATCATTTTCCACCAGCTACAACACAAGCACCAGCGGTGTCAAGCATCCAAGTAAGGTGCACACTGTTTGACTCAGATCAATGTAAAATTTCTGAGCTGCAAGTTATGACAGCGTTTCAAATATTAACTGCTCATAAATAGGGCACTTCTTGTTCTTCCACAGACACTACTACCAGTTCATTCAGTAGTTTAGAGAGCAATACTAATGTCAGTTTTTTTCACTGCAGAAGATTTTCATGTGCTAACTGTGGAAGAGGCTAGGAATTGAAGCCCAAAAGATTTAGAGAAAAAGAAATTTTTAAGAAAAAAGATTCAAAAAATTATGGAAGAAGATACAAACCATATGAGATTTCTCTCCTAGATCCTATTGATATACCATTAGTATCACTTCCTTTGAAATGAACAGAAAGCAGAAGCCAGAAAGAGTTGTTTCTCCTAATAAAATAACAATGTCAAGTAGTATCCTAATGGGTTGAGAAATCCCTCACAAGAGACCATTCATACAACAGACTTTTAAAAGAGTATATCACTGCTGTGTCAATAGAGCATTTTACATTAGGATAAAAGGCACTTGAGTTTCTTGTCTCTGAAAGGTGGCCAAACAAACACAAATAGAGCAACAAAGTAATCACATATTCACTAGAAAAATCAAGGTAAATTCAGTAGCATGGACTGTCACCAGTTTTCTCTGATCTTCACAGACAGATAGTGAATTAATACTATGTTCTCTAAAGGTAGCATCACTATCCAGGGGAGCTTAGTGTGTGCATCAAAATCAAGCTTTTTATGTTCTGTAAAAGGAGGATAAGATTACTTGACTTTCACAGCTTTTTAAATGGTGGCTATGATTACTGTGAATTTATGCTTGTGCTCATTTGGAAGAAAGACCTTTTTAGCAAGCATATAATGCTTTCTTTTACACTGCTGACCCATTCAAGAGCTTTAAGCAGCATTTTTGGGAACTTATATGAAACTATCAGCTACCTAGCTAAGAAATTTTAGGTGGTTGTAATGGGGGATATATCAGCTCTTTTTTTGTTTCCTGTTTTTGTCAGTTGTCTGTTACATATTGTGTACTTCACAAATGTGGTCAGTTGGAGTGATGCTGTTGGAAGAGGAGATCCTTCCTCCTCTGGAGCGTTGAAAGAAAAAGCTCAGAAGAGTGACAGCTCTGAAGCCCAGAGAGCCTGGCTGGAACAGGGGCACCAAATGGAGCTGGTGCCTACAGTGCCTGGGCAGTAATTGAGCCTGCAGTCAGGGGCAGAGGGGCAGCTTTCACAGGGGATGGGCACAAATGACAAAGGACCTGAGAGGACTTTGCATGTACTGCTGGTAGAAAGGCACTGAGTGAAACAGCATCTGCCTGCAAAGACACAGCAGGTGAGGAAGAATTTATATAAACTTTTTGGGTTTCTATTCCATCTAGCCTGTCACATATTTTAAAAGTTAACTATTCAAGCTTCTGTTCTATTAATGTTTGACTTTTCTTTTCACTAATCAAAAGCCTTCTGTCTTCTTGTGGAGCTTGCTAGAAAAAGACAGTACAGGCACATTCACATCACAGCAGTGCTTGATTCAGGATCTTGCCTCAAAGAAAGACCCTGAGTTCAGCACTTCCTACCTAAGATTGTCAGAATTGCAGTAGCCATCCTTTCCATGTTTTTTTCAGTTGGAATCTGTCTTCGAAATTTAATGGAAAATAGATGAACACCCGGGGGATTTTGTGTTTGTTTTTTTCTTTTTTTCTGGAGAAATGGAAACAGTTCCACATCCGGAAGAAAGAAACCTCCCAGTTCTTCATCATATACAGTATGTGGGACAAGGGAACAACAATTGTCATTCAGTGACAATGTATGCAACAGCTCAGACATATATATTGCATAAAATATAATCTTAAGAAGATCTAAAGATGAAATTTGCAGACTAAGTGGAAGCTATGACCTTTGATCTCATGAAAAAGTTTAAGTCAGCTCTTTCAGGTTGCCATCCTAATCTTGTTACCAAAAAAAGGGGATAGCACTTCCTCTCATGTAGCATATTTCCTTGCCTGGTAACTATTCTCAGAGCAGCCAGTAGATATTGTGGAGCCAATCACAAATAAGAAAGTATAAAAGAAGCAAGAAGGTAAATAAGATATCCTGTATGGCAACAGTGGCAGGACCAGCAGCATGCTATTATTGTTAGCTACATGATACAGATAAATGTCAGCATGTCATGTCTTGAGTGGCTCTCTGGTAGGCTCAGATAAGAAGGAAAATGTTTGTGATACTGCTTTCATCAGGCAGTTTTGAAGCACATGCCTGGAGAGGACATTTGGTCTGTGGGACCAGTCTGAAGTTGGTCTGAAGTAAACAGCTGAAACTATATAATAGCTTGCATGTATCTAATTGATTCTACTGATTCATTCCTACTGTGCTGCATTATTAAATAACATAGACTACTTATTTATATTTCAGACTTGAAAAATCCATGTGTTGTATTGGATTCTAATTGCTTTTTTTCTGTCCTTACAGTTAAAGGTCTTGTAAATGGTGCAGTGAGCATGTGAATGGCCTCCCTTCAAACCAGGAATGTAATTCCCAGAGGAATAAGAAGCAGGGAAAACAGCAGAGTAAAAAGCACGTCCTTTGAATCCCATTTTTCATCTTCACTTCCAGCAGACTAGAAACGAGGAGTCACAGTCAAAAAGGGTCATCAACATTTTGCAGATCTCCCAGTTTGGAAACTGTCTCAGGAATGGAAGAGCTAAATGGGAGGTAATTAAACACCAGGACTGAAAGCATCTTGCTGAACTCTGGGGTGTCTAAGCCAATAGCAATATAGCAACAGCAAAGATCACATGATGTGATCTTTCTCTATTACATACACAGCATAGTTAATGAGCACATGCACAGTTCTGCTTTCCTAAATGCCAGACTCACTGTGCCTGCACAAGAGTGTTATATATGAGTAATAAGTCCAGCACTTTTGGAAGCAGAGCTTTATAACACCACTTGCAGCCAGGATGTGCTCATAGCCTGCTCAAATCCTACTTCTTGTCTCATTCTGCAAAGCATCCAGGAAAAGAGGCTGGCTGCCTGCACACCACTGCTATTCCCAAACCTGCTTTGTGCTGAGACCTCTCTGTGCAGGAAGGAACAAGCTGCTTTAAGAATAGCTCTGAAGCCAGAAGAAAGCTGCTCTTAGCTTACATCTTTCTTCCATCTGTCAAATGAGAGCATGTGTTCCCATTATACGCTGGGAGAAGGAGCCATACACTGAGCATCCCACACAAAACCAATCCTCTTTCTTAGATAAATTCTGGGATAACCTAGGATAATTGTCATTTAAATAAAAGCACAACTTTTTGAGGAAGCCACTGAGAAGTCACCCGCATGTAGGTTTGGGATGTGAAATATCTGGCCAATGCTCCTTACGTTTTCTGTGTAACCTAAGTGGGACTAAAATTTTGTGCCAGGTCTGTTATTACTTTCTTAGTCAATTAAGCATACACTGCACACAATTCTTTTCACAGCATTAATTTTGTTCTGAAGGTAATTGCAGCTTCAGCATCTTTTTATATGTTATTTCCACTTCTCAACATATCTGAACTTCCTTTCAATAAAGCATATAAAATCCTCCTCCAAAAATCTCTTGATTTAATTTTTTCATACAAGAATCTTAAATGCAATATGAAACTCTGCTATGAAATTTGCTTTAAGACTGATGTAATGTATAAAATATTTCAATTTCAAGAATTAATTTTGCAAATTATATTTCTACCAGACTGTCTTAACCTTATATTATTAAAATAGTCCATAAAGTGCTCTAGTTAATATTAACATGAAACTTGAGTAACTTAAATTACATTAAGATGAGAATTAGAGCTACAAGCCCTAATCCAACAAAAATAAAGAGTAGTTTGGAAAGAAGCATACTATCCCAAATGTTTCAATCCTACCTGCCTACCGGTGAATACACCATTTTTCCCTCTTGTGAAATAATATTCTCAAATAGAATATAATGGGAAAACATTTTGAGAAATCCATACCCTTTTATACCTGCATAAGAGACTATAAAATATTAATCTATATTTGTCTAAAATGTGGGTATTTTTCCCTATTTAAAACCACTTCAAGCTCCAGAGAATGGTTCCTAATCAGGATACTGGTGTTTGACATCTACAAATTCATGACTCTTCAGGAAGGTAGCAGTTATGAGTAAAAAATTTCAGCTACTAAACACCTGTTGCATTTCCAGGCTGCAGAGATGAATATGTATCAGATCAATAAAAAGAGCTTTTACAAAAGGTATTTTAAAACCCTGATGATAGATTTGTTGCTTGATTTTTACCCTCTTAACTTATTCAGTGCTGCCTGGGGCTTTAATGAAGTGTTGTTTGATAGGTGTTTTTTAAAGCACTTAACTTCCACCTCAAAATATGAGTGAAAAAGTATCTCAGGAACATTATTAGTAAAACTAAAAATAACATCATTAGCAATGTCATTAAGTAAAAAATGCATGGAGTCATCAAGACTTAAATTAAATGAAGACCAGAAAAGAGGTACAAACAAATAAACAAACTAACAGAATTTTTATCTAATGAGATTCAAATTAGTAAGACTCCAATTATGGTTTGAGGTCTTAATATATTTAGATGGCATGCACTATTTTGAATGCAGGATGACACAGCTGAACTTATCAACATACAAATAGACATACAGCAATGTTTCATGGTTTGTTGAAGGATGTGAAAGTGTTTTATGTATTTAGCAAGCTGTTGTGAATACAACAAGGGCGTGTTACATTAGATAAAACTTCCCATGATCTTAATTTTTGGGCTCTATAATCTGCCTTCAAAAGAGCTCAGTTCATATAGGAAATGATGTGGTTTTACTATGTAAGTTCTCTTACATTGCTGAGTCAATTATGTGGAGAAACATGATGCACAGCTTCAGCTTGCAACTGCATTTGTTTTGATGTAACATTCTTGCATCAAAGACATGTTAAAAATGTGGTCCTTAGGGACTGCCTTTTTAGCTCAACAGGGAAGAAGCTAAAAACTATCTCACCATTATTCAGCACATGCTTCAAGCCATCCTATGTTAATATATATTAACAATTGATTCATTAATTTTGAAGAATGTTAACAAGACCACATGAAAGCTTATCTCTTTAAGAAGCATGAGAAAGTATAAATACATTGTCAACTACGAGCTCAGCTAAAGATTACAAAACCTTTTTTTGAATGATAATATTCCTGAAAAATTTATAGATTTTTAAAAATTAACCTTTCATATCTTTTGTAATACATCAAATGCTTCTCTTAATACCCTACTTCTTGTAACATTTATCTCATTTGTCTAATATGGTACATGGAAAATGATTTTTTTTAAGGCTCTTTGGTGTTTCCATGCACAGACTCACATTGCAGTATGTGTGGATTGACTATCACCTCCAGATACAGAAATTGATTCACAACTTCTGATTTTCCCATACAAAAAAACCTTTGTGCTCTTTTACAAGTCATCCATCCAGAAAGCCTTGATGCATCAAAAAGCCTTTTCCAACAATATCCGCTTCATGATCTAAACTGAAAAATCCTTTAATAACTCTTGTCATTCTCCAGTATTATGAAACTTCAAGTGGACTAATCTCTATTTACCACAATTTCTTCCAACATGTTGCTACCAGAACATTCAGTGCACTTTACACTTGATTTTATTCCTGCCCTAGTATTTTGCACAAAGTATCAGCATCACACGTGACAACCTTCTGAGCCCTTCTGGTGTCTGCTATTTGTTGTTCATTCTTCTTAAAAAATTTTCCAAATTAAAGTAGTAATTTTTCATGCTAAGTCCACTATCTCTTGTTTGGAATTGTAGTAGAAGCCTCCAGTGATACATTCTGGTATGCAGAATATTCTATCACTGATCTTAAAATCTAGATTTTAAATTGACTAGCACTAAAAATGACTGAGAAAATGGCTTCAAGTTTTCTGTCTGCAGCTGAGAAGCAAAATTCATATACATAGCAGAATATTAAATATGCAGCCTGCAGGAAGTCTCTGTACCTCACACAAAAGTCAAGTATTAGGAAAACAATCTTTCCTCAAATGCTTTTAAGACTACTTAGATAAGGGGCAAAGTATTTCTAGGGCAACTCCAATGTTAAGATGGGTGTTCTGGGATTCATGGACAGCCTTATTTATACACATGTAATGGCAGTCTGTAATTAGGCTGAAAGGCCAAAAGTAATAAAATTCATTCTAAACAGCCATCACATCAAATCACAGATTTTACTTTCCTTTGCTTTGTCAACTACATCTGTACAAAGGGAGTCTGTGGGTCTCGACAGCGACAAGAGTCCAGTACATTGACATTATTTTATGCTATATTTGTATATGCAAAAAATGTGTCTACAAAACCAGTAGAGCTACATCTATCTCCATTTGAAAAAGTGTTTTAAATAATGTGAATACTGCAAGAGTTAATTCCTTCACTTGCATAATAACACAAGCTATACCTTTGGGAGAAGCTGGATTGCTTGGAGTATTCTCTGTCTGTGCCCAGAGTTAAGGATTCCTATTTCCAAGAGATCCTGGTCCTCCATCACGTTGCTTCCCTAAAAATGGGAAAAAAAGGTGGAATAAAAATTAAAAACTTAACAGATGCCCTCAATATCTTGATACAGGCCCTTCTATCACATTTAAAAGAGAACATTTTGCTTAACTTATAGCATCTGACAAGAATAATAAAGTACTGATGATTGCATTCATTTTCACTATAAAATATGGTGGCAGGTGCTTGAACCCATGGACTATTTCTACACTGCTGGCAGCACTGCTGGTGGAAAAATTGTAGCTCCCACTCAAGCCAAATGCCAGATGTGAATGCTCTTTCATTTGGAACCAAGGACATGACTACAAAATTGTTCAGAAACTCTACATTGTTTCACTTCACCTCCTACCTCACCCATCTATTTATGACATTAATTTTTCTCCAGATTGAAAAAAACCAACACAGAATAAGATGAGGAATGTTGATAAGGATAAAATTATTTAGTTCATTGATAGTAAAATGATGAAGAAAGGGACTGGCATCAACAAACTATACAGTCCCCATCCCCCATTTAACTGTACCAGTTCAATCCTAATTTTACTTGTCACTGCTTTTATATTCCTGCTTGTGAGCAGGTCAAATAGTTCCAAACATTCAAATAGCTGAAAAAGACCATCTGTTCAAATAATACACAAAATAATTTCCCAGAAAGTTAATGAAATAAACCTCCACAATTCAAGTATCTCTTCATAGGAGTTGCTAGCAGTAGGAGCTACACAAACAGGACTATACAATTCCTAAATTCAAGGAGTCTGATATCACCTAGTAAGTCCAGTGACTACTGAAGGAAGCATTGGAAGCACGATAGTGGCTCAAAAGTGGAATTGAAGACAATGATCAAGTCAGGATTGCTGGCAATCTTGTATTCTTTTTTGCATTTATAGTTTCAGAAAAAACCTCAGATTTTAAAAAAATATATTTTATGTTTAAAAAGTTTCTAACTATTACAGATGAAAACAAAACCCAAAAAAACAGATGACCTGTCCTGATCTCTTAGCCCTGTTGGAGTCTCACGACACTAACTGGCCAGAAGCAAGAATTCTTACTTGTACTAATTTAATTTGATCACTAAATAGGTGTTACGTGAGGAAATCCATGAAAACTTCATCTCTACCTTTCCATTTGATTGCTGCTTCTGACAGCACAGCCCTTAAGAAGTGGCAAAAGGAAAAGCAAATAGGCATACAACAGAACATGCTTCAATGCTTTGCTCAGTCAGGGCTTAATAACGGATATGACTTCTTTCTGAAAATAAAATCTCCTGTCCCAAAGCAGCATGGATTCCTTTCAAAAATCACCATAGAATACAGAAGACTTCACTCTGTTCAGCTGCTAAATCTTCACCCTTTTCAGATGGACTGATTAGTTTACAGGTGTACCCCTGAGGACTCTCAAGTGCTGCTCCACGGAGAACCCTGCAAAATCTAGGTGATGTCTTTTCAAGGGAATTGAGGAAACCTGAAGCAATCTGTGTGCAGCATTCAGAACAGGGCAAGCAGACACCTGCTCTACAAGGAGAAGATGTGCAATGATGCCAGTTTAAGAAGAACACCCAATATAAGAATGCCTGCAGCATGGGCTGTGCAACCAGTGATAGTGATTAGATGGGGGTAACACCCCCTTCATCTCCCTGATAAACACATAAAAATTATAATTTCCTCTTTCTTCCTTTCTCTTTTAAATAAGCAAAAGGAGGCTGTAAACTTACAGGAAAGACTCTTGAAAAAAGCCATCCATTTTCGGCTGGATTCTCCAGTGGCTGGAAATAGCTGGCATAAATGGATTTAAGGGAACAGAGCCAACTGAGGACCAGTCCAAAACAAAGACTATACATTTCCATTCATTTTAATAAATGCATCTATTTTGTTTGCTGCTAGTGCTTTCACTTCATTTAACAATTTTTTAGATTTCACCTTCATTACTGCACGATGTTTATACACAATCATGGTGTACTCATCACTGTTTACTGGTGCCAGTAACCTTGGCATACCTTCAAATATTACAATGTTTAAATCTCAATTAAACTAACAGGCACAAGAAAAATATTTGCACATAGTTGCTGCATCACAGAGAAATAATTATTTTATTAATTCTTTGCTATTGTTTTTTCCTTATGTATTATTTAATGTATTTTTTTAAAGTATGTCAAGGTTGCAAAAGCAAATATTTAAAACTCAGGAAAGCCTGGAACTCATGTTGCCCCCTCGTTCCCAGTTTAATAAGGCAACAACCTTGTCTTTGAATATGCTCAGGTTTTTAGAGCTTTCCTGTGTCAATGTTAAGTGTCAACAGTAGCAGACACTCATCCCTCCTGTAAAACTGATTTTATTGTCTTCTGCCATGGAACTAAAATAACTTCTCATCTTTCCACAAGAGCAAATCAGAGTAATTTAGATACTCAGTGTAATCCACTACTGCTTAGCATAGAGGAATAAACTCATAGCAGTAGAAAGCTGCTGTTTGATTTGCAGAAATACCTGTGAAGAGAAAGAAACAGCCTATCCCTCACAGTCCTGTCTCCCTAGTATCTGCTCAAATTGCCCCCTTAATCCTATTCCCTGATTTTTTTTTTTACCTGATTATTCCTCTCGTGCTCTTCCAGTCTCTTTCCATAGGATCCTATATTAAGAGTGAAGAATACCTAACTTCCTTCTGCTACAAGGGCAGTAATTCTCTCCCTGCTCTTAGCTTCCATCTATTATAAGCTGGACCAAATGTAACCTCAATTAACCTTAGACATGACATGGTAAATGCAATTTAAATTAATATGAATGCAAGACTGCCTTGTCACATTATTTCATCCTTAAAAAAAGTTGAGCTACATTAGTTGAAATATTCACCAAAAAGAAATTATCCTAGTAGACACCTAGAGAATTTGAGTACAAAGATTTAACTTTTATATGCTTACATGTAAAACAGGTTCTTATAACAGGAAATATGGGACAGCAATCTCTACTGATCTTATTATGCTTTCTGTAAGGAAAACATAAGAGACTTTCTGATACTGTAGTTTCTTAAGTCTATAGAAAAACTTAGTTGGAAGGAAAACTTCTTAGAATTAAAGCCATAAAAACACATCAAAATCACTTATACAAGGACAGATTCAGATCTCATTCATTTCAGCCTACAGTGTTGAAATTCCTGTCTTATTAATGCCTAATAGTCTAATGAACTGGAAAGATCCTTCTTCTGAAGTTCCAGTTAGGAAAGAGTGTATCTGAAATCCTCCACTCCCCATATTTGTGGTTCTGCACAACTCCCAGGATCATAATCTTTTTCCTTGTAAGTGCACACAGGAAGTTAATCTCCTGAGAAAGAAGTAGTTTCACAGAACAGTTGGGCTCAAGGACGAAGGAAAAACTGCATGTGGGAGACTGGAGGCATATGAAAAACAACATAATTTTAAAAACCCAGAAATTTTGCCAAATTGTGAGATAGTTCCTATAAATGAGTTCAGAACAAAATGCATAATGACTCATTATGGGATAAAGATGTCACTGGCATTTATTTGGGTTGTTCAATACAAAATCACCTCTGGCATTCTCCATATAAATACAGTCTTTCCAAAAAATTCTGGATTGGACCTAAGCATATGCATTCCACCTTCTACAGGAACAAAAGAACTCTGAAGATTTGTCCCATAAGTTAACAAAATATTAAACAAATTATTAAAATTACAGGCATGACTGTATGTTTTACATTCCTCCTTTTGTACCTATGTTTTTAATTTTCCTTCACATATTTTTTGTGCTGGAGAACTATCATGAAAAATTCTAATGTCTGGTTCTGTCACCTAAGTAAAATGGTACAGAAGCTTTAAAATAGCTGGCAGATGTATCACTAGACTTCTCTGGAAATTCAGCCACTGAAATTGGAAGAGATGAGCTATGAGGAACAAAATGACTGAAAAAAGAAAGAACAAATGGACTTTTAATTTAAAGCTTTCTTTCTCCCCTACAAAGGAAAAAGACTTGCATAAGAAATAGATGATTTGGGGGACTTTTGGCTTTAGGCTGGCACTGCCAACTTAACCAGTTCTTTTGGTGCTCATCTGTGTCAACAGAGGAAGATAAGTAGTAAATCGGGTACCCAAAGCTGTGTAAGTGCTGCTGCTTAACAGATTGAGTCAAAGTCATTCGCTGTGCAGCCATTATTGAGACCAAGGTCAGCTGGAGATACCAAGTGCTCCAAGGTAACAACAAGGTAACAACAACTTCTGGTAACGCTTTGTGTTTCTGATATACTGGAGACTGGTTTGACAAAGAACAGGATTGGTGTGGGTAAGGAAAGGATGACTTCTGAAGTAAGTACAGGGTTGATGGGGTAGCAGAAGAGCTTGCATCACTCCCAATGTGCAGGGAGCACTTTACACTCTCCTTTGCCCCCTCCCAGTCATCCATGTAGTAATCTGCTGCATCATCAAAATAATGAGATCAGAAGAGACTCTGAGGAGCTGGTACAGGTTGCATCCAGGACGCAGCAGTGGTAGAATCATGGTGTATGTGTATGACAGACAGGGTCTGGTGGGTGTTTGAAATGCCTTGTCAATGTCTCTACCAAAGTGTACTGCACTGAGCCTCACCCTGATGGACTGATGGAGACCTGGGCACTGCAGGGGCACAGCTGGGGCATTTCAGTGGCGCTGGGCAACAGGCCTCATACTTTGGCTTACAGAGCTGCTGGAAATATGGCCTGGCAAAGAAAAGAAAATCTGCTGGGTTGCACACTTAGCTGGAGTATCCAAGAGTACCATAATTCCTGTCACTCAGGAGAAGTGGGAGTAGGGCAGGAGCAGATGGGAATGTTCTTCCATTACCCATGGTTGAAGACTGAAGTCAGAGACAGAAAACTCAGCTCAAAAGCACAAAAAAGCTTTATTATTTCTTACTTTATCTGATCCCAGATGCATAACTGGTGGGAGAATAAGGACTGTTACAAAGCATATCCTCAACAGCTCACTTAAAAAAGCCTCCTCAGTTGGAATTTATTTGTTTCTCACCCACC